CAGGCTCCAGGTCCCTGAGAATTGTCAGTAGTTCCTTCTTCTCTTTCTTGTCTCTAAGGGCATATCTGCCTTGGTCTAACTGGTGGTATCTGCCATGTTTTTTTCTTAAGGTTCTGAAGAAACCTTAAAATAATCTTGTTCCACTTTCACCATTACACAGATGAGATGACTCAGTTTTGCCTCAACAAAGAGGTCTTTGGACCAAAATCATCTGAGCATCACTGGGACAGAGCATAACTTCCAGTGGTCCAGAATTATGGGGTATTTTTGTGTGTGCTACTCATAGGTGCTAAGTCACTGATGATGACTTCTAAGAGTCTCCATTGCAATTATTTATTCTTTTTTTGCAATTATTTATTCAAAATAGGTCTTGTTAATTTTCTTTTAGATAAATTAACTTTGGTTTCCCCTACTGATTTCTGTTGTGTGATCACAGTTATTTGAGAGGCATCATGACAGTGGGCAGAGAGTGCTGGACTTAGCCTCAGAAAGACCAGGGTGTAAATCCCATCTCTGAAACTTGCCAGCTGTCTGACCATGTGCAAGTATCTGAACCTCTATGAACCTTAGTCAGCTTTTCAAGAAATTAGAAACTGGGTAGAGAAAGTTCCCATCGTGATGAAGTCACAGATTCTTGCCATCATTATCTTGCTCACATTTTCAGTTATTCTTGGTTTCTTTGTACTCCTTTCTCCATTCTGCCAGGATAAAAGAATGTAGAAGGTACTACAAGTCAGGAATGGACCGTGGCTGTTTCATGGCAGGATGCCATTGCCAACAGCCCCAAGAGACGTGCCTAGACTGTCCTTAATAAACGTAGTCCAGCTTCTCTTAATAGCCATGTATTGCCTCTGTTTAGCTTTTAAAGCTCTTTCTATACAACCTGGCCTCAACCTATGTTTCCAGCCTCATTGGACATTACTCTGCCTGTCCATACTCTGTGATCCAGCCAAACTGGCCTTCTCTTTGTTCCTCACACATATCACTGAATTTCCTGTCTCCATGCCTTTGCAGTGACCATCTCCCAATACCGGACATTCCCCCATACTTGGAACACATTTCATTCTTACCTCAGTATTATAGAATCCTCTTCTTTAAAATGCAGCTCAGGCAACAGTTGAGTTTCAGGTAAGCCAGGAGGCTTCAAATAGGGTGATAACATTTGCATTACCTATTTCAAAGGGTTTCTGTGAGAACCAAGTGAGACAGAATATACTACATGAGGTACTATCCAAATGAGAACTATTATTATTATTGTCATTATTTGCAAACCACCAGTCTTCCAGTACAGTGACTAGTCTTAACAACAGGTTACACATTTGAACTAAAAGTTTCCTAATTTCTTCCTGGTGTTTGAAATTGGTCTTAATTTGGTGTCTTCAGTGCATTTCACTCACATAATCCCCAGTACCGCCATTATGGCAGCTGATGAATGAAAGCCACGTCTTCCCCACTCAGCTTCCTACATTTATCCTTCCCCATTGTTTATAGTCCTCTAGCCAGAGTTCTTTTCACTGGATAGTTTAGATCCATTCATTGTTCTGAGGGCTTTACAGAAGTCACAGCCTCTTTCTAGTTGCTTCTTTCTTGTGTTTGGGGCTCCAGAGAGTGAATCCTAATTTACATATTCCTATGTGATATATTTATACCATACTTCCTTGGTAGCTTAGGGAAACTCTGGCAGAAGCATTGTTTTAAAAAAGGAGAATATCCAGATGTGCATTCCCCCCCCCCCCATCCAAATCTTTTTCTGCATTCACCTTGGAAGCGATCTCAGGTCACTGTCCAATTGCATCATTTCAGGCTTTGCACACTACATTTCCCCTCTTAAACACCCACACACTTGTTTATGTTCTTCTAGACCTATTCACAGACAATCTCTTGGTCACCTTTGCAGTTAGCTCATTCCCTGGAGGTTTTTTCAGCTGTTTCCATCTCCTCTCCTGGCTGGGAGAGTTAATTTTCTCTTATCTCTTCCCAGAGATCATGATTTCCAAATCTTTCACTGTGTGTGTTGCAGTCTTTTCTTTGGAGAATTTCCAATTCAGCTGCAGATTGGAGGATGATAACAGCGAATTAGTGGATCAGATCTTCTTTGATGCCATTTTATGAGTTAACTCATTAATTTATGACAAAAACATCAAAGAGCTAGGCCTTTGCACAGGTCTGGATTTTCCCAAAGTAGTTGGGTAATAATACTCTTTGGTTAGATTAAATCTCAAAGTTGTTTCTGCTCCAAGCACTAAATTCTAAATTCTCAAGGGTCTGAGAACGTCCCATCCCATCTTGTCCCACACAGAAGGTAGCACAATGTAAAATTCTGTGTTATTTTATTTCTTCCATCCTAAATGTTGCTTAGTCCTTAACTGACTCCACTTGGACACCTCTGGGTGTTGATGTCCATTGCTAAATTTTTTTTTATAAGTGGAGTTTGTTAAAGACCTCAGCTTATTAAACACCTTGGTCCAGCTTGAGGATGAGCTGTAACACAAGAGTGGGAACAGAGCCCATGGCATTTAATAAGGAGTCTAATGATGTGCTCACCAGACTGTTTTGTTTCCAGTTCAAATACATGGCACAGTTGGTATGATCAAAATTGAGCTGGAAAAGGTTAGGTAAGGTTCATATCTTTTATACCTTCAGACACCAAGAAGTTATTTGTTTATTTCTACCACTTCTAACTTCACATTCACAGAATCAGATAATTTTCCATTTATTTCTAGCCACCAAGTCCTTGCACTTTGTATGCTTCAGTTTTTCTGTCTATAAAATGGGAATAAGAGCTTGGACTCTCCTGCCTATTCCTCTCTATGTTCCCCAATTAGCCTCCTGGGGGATAAGGATCAGAGACATTTGCCATCAACTAGGTATATGATGGTGGGCTAATCAGTTCCCCCTTTCTGGTCTTCAATTTGCTCAACTATAAAATAAGTTTGGACTAGATAATCTCTTGGTCCCTTAAAGATCTAATATTCCATAATTATTTGATGTTAGATATTTCTCTGAAAGACTATTGCTATTTAGTTGATGGTTTCTCTATAATCTGGCAGTGCTGCTCCTATAGCTAGTATGAAGTATGCATCGGGGTAGGATGAAGCACAGGTGTTGAGAGTCCACATGCCTTTATCTGTTTACCCCAAGTTCCTGTGTGTTGGCATTACCTGTCTATCTCTGTGTAAGTAGAAACAGGCCAACCATGGGAAAGTATGATGTCCAAAATGGGAAATATCTACTAGTAGCAGCAGCTGGTGTTCTCAGGTCAATGTTAAAACTACAATGAATCTACTTTATTCTAGGAGGCCTAGTCCCAGTTACAGAAGGCAAGTAAAACTGGTTTGGCAACCCATCCCACACCTGACAAGAAATGGACGGTAGGGAGGGGCCCTCTCATTTTACAGACGAAGAGACAAACCCAGAAAGAGTGATTCCACATGCCACAAATTATAGGGTCAGTGGTCTGAACCCAGGGCTTCTGACTCTGAATCCAGTGCTCTTTTAATTACATAAACTTAGATGTGGTAGCGAGGATTTCTGTTCAGGTACAGGTTGGAATAGATATGACTTCTGAGCTTTCTATCTTCATTCATTTCCACCAACTCTGAGATTTCGTCAGGCAAAGGCTCCTAGGGAGAAGAAGCTCCACTTCTAGATAGGGATACGGACTGAACCTGTGATTTCATCGGAGTAGGGAACTTCCAGATGAGGAAACTCCTCTAACAATGCAGGTCAGCATCTGCATTCAACCTACAGTCTTAGAGAGTTGCTTAAAGTGTGGAGAGGTTAAGTAATTTGCTCAGGGTCACACAGCTATTGTCAGAGGCAGGATTTGAACCTTGATCTTCCTGATTCTGGGGCCAGTTCTCTGTTCTACCCACAATACCCTGTTTCCTGACATTTCTAAAATTCCAATAGAAAACTACGTGTTGGTAAGGGAACAATTTCTGTTTTCTGCAGTCAACATTGTTCTCCATTAGATCCTAATGTTCAAGTCACGGAAAGGAAGGAGGAAAGATGAGAATAAACACATAAGTGGAAAAGTTGAGACCGGGCAGAGAAAGAAGGTACATAGGTTGAGGCTTGGAAGTGTAATAGCAGGAGTGTGGTTTTAGGGCTTCCATTTATTAGTTGTGAGACTTCAGACGAGTTACTTTAACCTCTTTTTGGATCAGTAGCCCCTTCTATAAAATGGGAACAATACTCATGGCGTTGTTGTGAAGCTTAGACGAGATATTTTATGTGAAAACCAAACCCTATATGAGGGTATTTATAGTTTAAAAATGAAATTATATTAGAATGCAAGCTATTATTAAAAAGAGGGAAAAGATAGTGAAAAAGATGAAAGACAAACCCAGGCTGGGGGAGGAGAGACGTCAAGAAGCCTGAAAGGTAAAGGAAGTGGGCTGAGCCAAACCTCCCAAGCCTCAGGGTGGGAGGTTCCAAACCCGGCATCCTCAGCTTCTTTGCTTACATAGCCCTCGGGGACTCCCTTCCAGGACTTCTTAGAGTAGGGGAGCCCCGAGGGGAAGCCGTAGCTTAAGTAGTGTTCCACTCCGGGGCTCTAGGTGGGGGAAGGGCTGGAGAGGCGGGGACTCCGGAATTGGGCGGGGCTGAGCCCTCTCCCCTAGGGCGGGGCTCCTTGGTAGACCACTGAGTCTGGGGGACACGGCTCCCCACCCCCCGGCCTGGCTCCTCCGTCAGGCCCCTCCTCCTGCCTCGGCTGCCACCGCCAACGCTAAACCGAGCCTCTTGACTGCAGAGGCAGCGGGAGCACGGAGCTCCCGGTGCAGAGAGCGGAGCCTGCAGCCGGGCCCGGCCTCTTACATCTCATTGTCCCAGCACCGAGGACAGCGCTGCTCCTCCTCGGCCCAGAGCTTTATAAACCACGTCGCAGCACACGGCACCCCCTGCCCGTTTAGGGCCCTGGCCCCGCAGCTCCTCGTTCAGCACCGAGGACAGTGCCTCCCACCCCACCCCGTTGCTCCCACCGCCGCCTCCGAGCAGCCCGCCCGCGCTGAACATGGCCACCGAGGTAAGTGAGAAGCGCCCTGCGGGCCCCGCCGCTAGTCCTTGCGGCTGGGAACAGGAAGCAAGCTGCACGCGGGGACCTAAACTGGGCTTGGAGCAGCTTTGATGGGAGAAGGAAAGAGGGGAGGGCTTGGACTGAAGGGGGAGCAGGAAGGGGTGGGAGTGAGTTGCCCCGCCTTGAGGCAGGAAGCCCCTCACTCCCTGACCCAGCCTTCCTTCCCAGCACCGGCCCCCAAACCCTCAGACAGCCCTGAAGACGTCGCTGCCACTTGTTGGCAAAGGGGCAGCTGTTTTTCTTCTCTAGCAGCTCTGGCTCAGCTTTCTTTCCCAGCAGAGGGACAGGCTCTAAACTGCCCTCCTAGTCAGGATGAATCCCTAGAAGAGGGTTGTGTGTGTGTGTGTGTGTGTGTGTGATGGGATGTAAATGTTGGGGGTGGGGTAGAGGCATTGGTTCCTTGCTGTTGCTATGCAGTTCATTCGGCCAGGGCCCCAAGCCTAAAGCTTGCAACACTAAACCCAAAGCATGCAACACCGAGAAACTCCAATCTTTGCCCCCTGATGCTTCTATTTCCTTCTGAGGATGGAAGTGTGAGAGGACATGCCCAGGTGGAGAACTAAATTATTTCATTTCTTCTACCCTTCTATACACTTATCCTCCCATCTTGCTCTTACATGTGACTGTAGTCTCTGGAACTTACTTCTCCTCAGTGACGCTCTTTTTTCCCTTGTCTTCTGTAGGCAGTACTGTGGTCACACAGCTAAGACCTTTGAAGTAGACTGGGCTAGGAAAATGTCGGCCAACAAGCCTCTCACAGAGGAGTCTTGGTGCTTAGTTTTAGTGTTTTCAGTGAACACTTTTGGCTTTATAGGTGTCAGCCAATATCCACCCTTCTGTGAGAGAGGGGACATCTCTGAGTCACTCCACCTAACATATGGGAATACTTATGTCTAAAGAAAGAAAATATCTTGTACAGGTGGTCACACAGCAGGTCAGTTACATTGACAAAAATTACTCTAAAATATCCTTGTGGTCTCTCTGAGAACCAGGACTCCTGGGCTTCCTTCTTGGCTTTGTGATAGATTCCAGCTCCTCACTTACTTTGCCCTTCCAGAAAGGAGAAGCTTTTGAATTAATCAGTATGAAAAACTACTATGCATCTCTGATGACAGCACTGAGTGTTACTGTTATTATTATTCCTCTGTAGTCATCACTGCAGAACAAGGTTCAGGGGTTTGGAAGCTCTTGGCTGCTTGCAAAGGCAAAGGGCCAGCCAGGGCAAAGAGTTCAGTCTATCTGAGACAGAACCACTAGGTGCTTTTTCTAGGGGGATCCTCAACACCAAAGAGTAGCGCTTGAACAGGAGAGCTTGGTTTTCTCATTCTAGTGGCAAACTCTACTGGGTGATATAGAGCCAAAGAGAAAGTCCAAAGAGAAAATAGCTCAGGGGCTAGAAAGACCCCCGTGGTTTAGAAGGAAGGGGTAACTTCTGCTGAGTGAGGAATTAGAGCAGGTGCCTGCCATTGTGGTCTTAACACTAGGCTGACCAAAGACCCATCTACCTACCTCAAGTTGTCTTCTCTATTTTGCCTTGAAAGGTGGAAATTTCTGATTCAATTCATGGAGTGTTTATTGAGTTCTTACTAAGTGGGAAGCACTATGCTGGGGATACAAAAGCAAAAAGAAAATTTCTGCCCTCAAGAAGCTTACTTTCTAAGAGAGTGGGGAAGCATACAACATTGACGTTATTTATTTGCCTTAAACCCTTGTCTCCTGTATTAGAATGTAAACTCATTGAGAGTAGGGATTGTTTGTATTTGTATCCCTGATGCCTGGCACTTAGTAGGTGCTTGTTGATTGATTGATTCATCTCCTGGAAGCCCAGGCTAAAACCAATGTTACCAGGAGGGACAATGCTTAACTATTGGCACCAGATAGAGTTTTATAGTAAGTTCTCACACCTCTTTACAACCTGTGAGACTTTAACTTCTTTCGACTTTGATTTCTCCCAGTAGAAAAGATTCCCAAACTGTAAGAACTAAGGTCATCCAGTCCCACTGTGCTTTGAACTCATTTCCTCATTTTAGTTCCTCAGAATTGAAGTTCTGGGAGGTGAGGGTCCTTGGAGGTGGGTCTTGTCTACTTTAAGGAACATTCATGCTCCGTGTTTCCACTCCACATTCTACCTTGGGGAGCAATGGGAAAATCTCATCTACTCAATACCTAGGATACCTCTGTTTATATAAAAAATTCTATTCAACTGGTCAATTCCTTAATACAGTTGAGGGATCTGGCTTGAGTTAATTGTTCCCGTCCTTGGGGCAGGCTGAGCCGTTTGGATACTCAATGATTCTTGTTCCCACCTCCACTCTCTAGGCACCAGTCTTCCTTTGCAGGATGTGAGAGTCCTGGGATGTGACCTGCAGCATCCGTTCTCGGGGCTGCCTCCCTCCTCCCAATCACACTGCAGTTCAGAAATTGGTGCCAATAGCTCTTGTCACTGATTTTCCATTTCCTCCTAATAAAATGCCTGATGGGCATGCCCTTACTCAGCTGCTACCTGGCCCAGGGGAAAGCCCTAGAAGAAGGAAAGTAAGTGGGCTTTTGAAGGGCAATAACAGAAGGAAACTATGAAGTGAGATAAATTTCACTCCAGAAAAGATCCCAGGAATATCCTTGAATAAACACCTGGAAGACTGGTTTCCAGATCTCCTGATTGGCTGTTCAATATTCTTTCTACTAAACCATTCTACCTCTATAACTAAGACAAGTCCAGATCTCACTTCTGTGGAAAGGGGGAGACCACTTAGTTTAAGAATGAAGGCCAAGTCTACCACCATCAGGATAAGATGTCCATCAGATCATAGTTGGAGAAAGTACTTCTTGTGGGTGTGGACCACCCATTCACATAAATAAACTTACTTCTCTTACCTAGGAGGAGTCCTACACTTTAGTTTCCACATTACCCTCTCTCACAATGAGATCAGCTCTCCTTTGATCTTTCTCTCCCTATGGTGCAATGCTTCGCATTCTGCAGGACCCAGCATGTTGTACGGGGCTATCAAATAGATGGCTGGTTGCCAGCCCTCCTAGGTTCTCACCCTTGCCACAGCAGTTTGGGGGAATCACTACTTCAGTGCCTCAGTCTCTCAAATCTACAAAATGGAGTTATGAATAACCTGGTGTTATTAATAACACTGTTTACTATAGAGTACAATTTAGTATAAAGCAGGTCTTTCTTGTAGTCCATTCAAAGTGGCATAGTTATTGAAGTTCCAAAGGGACCTTGACTATAAGGTGATTCATAAATCATAGAATGTTAGAGCTGGAGGTGAAATTAGAGCTGGAAGGAAGAACTGATTTTGGAAATCAGCTAATCTACCTCCTTAATTTTATTGGTGAGAGGTAATGTAGTGTGGTAGAAGAGCCCTGGGTTTGGACCCAGGAGTCATGGGTTCAAATCCAATTCCTGATACTTACAAACTCTGTGACTGTTGGCAAGTACATCACCTGACCTCTCTCTAAGCCTCAGTTTCCTCAGCTGTAAAATGGTGATAATGGCATTTTCTGCCTCATATGATGGTGATTGGACAATATGTGTGAAAAGGTTATATAAAACGTAAGCTGAGTCTTATGAAGGTCCTGGGTAAAAGCTTCTAGTTTTTTCTTTGAGTTCAGCTGGATGTGAGACCAGGGCAGGAACCAGCCTGCCCTTTAGCATGTGAACCTATATATGAACCCACATGGATGAGTCTTTACAATAGAGAGCACAGAGCATGTGCAGAGTGTGTGCACATATATTGACTTATCCAATGGACAAATGTGTCATTTGCCAGGTGAATCCATTTCAACGACCCCTGACTGCTTTGAGTTTGAGTTTGGGGTAGAGTAGTTTAACATTGAGGCATAAGAAATTTCAAAATACCACCTGCATGGAAATTTGTGAAGCAGATAAATTTAGAGGTGATTATTTATACCACAATTTTTTTTATTCAAGCTGCCACGACTCCTTAAATAGAAAGCTCCCCTAATGAATTTAAAATACAATTCACTTTGCAACAACAACAAAAAAATTCACCACACTTTTGGGGGAAAATCTTTTACATAAAGCTAGATATACTTGCACTTAGGAAAGGCTTACATCAGCAACTCATTTGCCAACAAGTTCTCCTGAGTGAGGACTTCTGCTTAGGTTTATAGTGGGGGTCTTTCTACTATGCCTCTGGTACAAAGCCCATAATGGTGGGTCATATTTTTATTTGGATTTCACTCAATGAATATGCCTTCTGTCTTTAGTTTTTGCAGTATTGTATAGAAGCTTTAGAACTAGAAGCCCTGGGTTCTAATTCTGTCTCTGCTATTTACTGACTGTATGTCCATAGCAAGTTACTTAACGTCTCTGAGTTTTACTTTCCCATTTTAAAAACAAATATGGGGCAGCTAGGTGGCACAGTGGATGGAGCTCCACCTTGGAGTCAGGAGGACCTGAGTTCAAATATGACCTCAGACACTTGACACTTACTAGCTGTTTGACCCTGGGCAAGTCACTTAACCCCAATTGCCTCACCAAAAAGCAAAACAAAAAAAAATGAATGCAATTATCTTCTTTCAAAAAAATTTCTATTACTCAACTCAATTTCTTTCTCATTATTTATTATGTTGTTATTTATTGATTTTTAACATTCTTTTCTTTTGAAAATTTGAGTTCTGAATAGTTTTCCCTCCCTCCCACTCCTCCCCCACCCATTGAGAAGGTAATCAAAATGATATCAATTATACATGTGAAATCGTGCAAAACATATTTCCATATTAGCCGTATAGCAAAAATAAAAAAAAGAAAGAAAGAAAGAATAAAAGAAGGAAAACAAAAAAAATTATACTTCAATTTGCACACAGAGTTCATCAGTTCTCTCTCTGGAGGCGGACAGGATTTTTTCATTATGAATCCTTGGATCTTTCTTGGATCATTGTATTGATTGAGTAACCAAGTCTTTCACAGTTGATCA